TCTGTATCTATATAAACAAGGGTGCCAGGGAGACAGCTCAGCAGGTAAAGGTACTACCCCCAGTTCAGTTCTGGAATGCACATGGTAGGAAGAGAGAACCAATTCCCACAAGTTGTCCTCTAGTCCACAAGTGTGAAATGGCACATGCACCAACTCCAAACATACAAATAAATAAAATGTAATAAAAAAACATTTGAAGTATATTCCACTAGGTACAAGCAATAGTGCAAGCAAGGTTGGAATCCACCTACCCTTCCATCTCCAGAGACAATACACATTTAAATTGCTAAACAGGAGCAGAGTAAGAAATATAAACTGTGACAGGTCTTGACTGAAAACAAGTTACAGTCAGTTTTACATTATGAAAAGAGAATTATCTAGTGCTTTAAGAAAGAGACCTTAAACTAGGCATGTGTACCTTTAATCCCAGCACTCGGGAGGCAGAGGCAAGCAGGTATCTGTGAATTCGAGGCCAGCCTGGTCTATAAAGCGAGTTTCAGGACAGCCAGGACTATACACAGAAAAATCCTGTCTCAAAAACCAAAGAAATAAAATAAAAAAGCTTAAATATTAGGTCAGTAAGAAAGCAAATTCACAGTCCAATTGAACCCTATCACCTCCAAACTGCTAAATGGACTGGTTCCAGGTTTGTGTAGAAAGTGGCAGCTAAAGTCGAGTGGTGGTGGCGCACACCTTTAATCCCAGCACTTGGGAGGCAGAGGCAGGTGGGTCTGTGAGTTCGAGGCCAGCCTGGTGTACACAGAGAAAGCGGCAGCTGCACTGAAAGAATGTGCTCTCTAGGCTTCTTGGTGTACATAACACTTCTTTTCCCTATTACCGACTGACAGAAAACAGCAATCTCTCCAACCAAAACTGCATAATGCATCCCAAACCCTAAATAAATTAATTCTGGCTTAATAACTATTATTAAATAAAACCTAACAATATTGACAAAATTAATGTATTAGTGTGCTGTGCAAGAACCTCCCCAAAATTGCAAGATTAAAAACCAAAATACAAACAATAAGTGCTGGAATATAAGTAATAAATATGGCAGTTTGGTCATTTTTTTTAGCCACAGTTTTATGAACGTAGTGAAAAGGAGTAAAAGCAGTATGACAGAAGAGCTACAACCACCAGAAAGTTCAAAGACTGAACCACTTACAGCACTCCTGTCCATTTGGAAACAGTCCACAACGGCCCTGACTGTCTTCCTACTATGGGCATCAGGAAGTACTGAAAATGTCCTGAGCACTCAGGAGAAACTCAAGAGACTTCGCAGGTCCCACTAGATGGCACCATCACAGGTCATCACTCTGCTCTCTCGGAAGCAAGGGCGGAAACCTTTCTTGATCTTGACAAACTGAAAGCTATGAACAGTGACATCCTCCCTGGGAAAGCATGACCCATAACAAATCGTGTAAAACCAGGAAAAGGAGTCTCACCTAAAGCGTCCTTTTTACCCAACACCACTGGCATCATTTCAATCAACGACCTAAGAGATACAACGCCTAGCCCAACCCTAAGAAGAGAAGCAGTAAAACAAAGTGGTATCTTTGCTGGATGTGGGGCCTCCTGGTGGAATCCCAACACCTGTAGGCAGCAGAGGCAAGAGGATCAGGAGTTCAGTGTCATTCTCAACTACATGAGATGCTCTCAAAAAAAAAAAAAATTCTATTAAAAAAAAAAAGAGAGAGTATCTTTTTCCTCTTCCTGTCTCTGCAAACAATACAGTAACTTACTTTTCTTTCAAGTCTCTTTGCTACAGAAATCAATGATTTTTTTCCACTGATCACCAAATAAAGCATTTACTGAAATAAATATACTTACCATGACAGACATGTCAAAATGTACAATTAATGGCATAAAAGCAACTAAGTACTGATGAACTTCCTATCAAACAGACAATATTACATTCAAGTTTTTTGAAGGTTTTGGGTTTTTGTTTGTTTTCTAAGACAGGGTCTTACCATGTAGTCTAGGCTGGCCTCAAACTCATTATCTTATACCTCGGCTTCCCAAGGGCACATTAAAGTTTCCCACAACTTGTTTACATCATTGTAAGTTGAGTCTGGGCAGTAAAAGTAAGATGTCATTCATTCCCATGACTAGAACCTATTTCAGCAAAGGTACACTTGGATAGAGCCAGCATGCACGCAGCTACATTGCAGGAGGAAAGAAGCCATCCCAACAAAGATTAGTAAAATCAACTCTACACAGTTGGAATACAAACTTTCTCCATAAGAAACCATGTGAATAGATTAAATTATGAGCCTTAGCTGGACACACCTATAATCCCGAGAGACAAGAGGACCATGAGTTTGAGAGTGCAGAACTGGGTTCCAGGCCAGTCTAGGTTGTACAGTAAGACCCTGCCTCCAAAAAATAAAAATAAGTAAATAGATAAATAAATAAATGACTGATTGCCAAGTTAAAAGACACAACAGTGAGGGCCTTGAGATGACTCAGTGGTTAAGAGCACTGGCTGCTCTTCCAGGACTCAGGTTCAATTCCCAACACTCACATGTGAGCTCACAAATGTCTGTAATTCCAGTTACAGGGGATCCTACACCCTAAGCCAGACATACATGTAGGTAAGACACCAGTGTACATTAAATAAATAAATAAATAAATAAATAAGGTACAGCAGTGTAATTCCAGACACTCAAGAAGCTAAGGCAGAAAGATCACTGGTTCAAGCCCGAGCTATGGAACAAGTTATAAAACAGCTGGCTGGGTGTAGTGACACATGACTTTAATCCCAGCACCTAAAAAGCAGGGCTACAAAATGAGACTATCTCAACAACAACAACAACAACCCCAAAGGACTAGAGATACAATTCAGTGTGTAAGGTGCTCGTCTAGCATATACAAGGCCCTGGGTTTGATCCTTTATACCACAACAATCAATCAGTAATTATAAACAAGACCTAGTATGGCCACTCATGCCTACAGTCCCAGCACCTAGAAAACTGAGATAGCAAGATCACACAAGAATTCTAGGCCAGACAAAATAGATGTGTCATCCTTGGCCCAGATATCTACTTAATATTCAAATAACACTGTGTACTTCTTTCTGAGGCTACTTCCCTTTGACCAAATAATTTATGTCTTCATGTTTATCTTCAGTATGTAACGATCAGGGGTTTTAGCCACTCCAAAGTGCCACCAATAGTCAGTTACTAGAGTTAGTTGAAAAAATAAAGCATTCATGCACATAATTACAGCCAGGTATGGTGGTGCATGCCTGTATTTCCAGTACTTACCAGCCTGGGGCAGGATGATCACAAATCACAGGCCAACCTAGGCTACCTATCTCAAAAACAAAACAAAAATCAAAAGAACTACTGAAGCTGGAAGTGGTGGCTTACCCCTATAATCCCAGTACTTGGGAGATGGAAGCAAGAAGATCAAGGAGTTCAAGGCTAACCTGGGCTATATAATCAAGTTCCAGGCCTGGCTAGGCTACATGAAACCTTATCTCAAAAACCAAGAACTAAGCTGGGCATGGTGGCACACGCCTTTGATCCCAGCACTCAGGAGGCAGAGGCAGGCAGATATCTGTGAGTTCGAGGCCAACGTGGTCTACAGAGTGAGTTCTAGGACAGCCAAAGATACACAGAAAAACAAAAGACAGACAAACAAACACACAGACACACAGACACACACACACACACACACACACACACACACACACACACACACGTAGGCACTAAATGCCGTGTTTCCTTGTCAGAGTTCTAACACAGTTCTTGCTGCAGTATTTCTCGTTTCTCTTTCTTTCTCTGCAGGTTTAAGGCACTAGACTGAGGTATTGTCCACAACACTTACACAATGCCCAGTATACTGTAGGTACTATGTGCTTTTCCAATAAATAAAAACCACCAAGCTATCCCAGCTCACTAAAATTGTGTGATCCATCAAAGCTAGGTTTCCCAAGCATAAACCTAACATACTCCTTCTTGTTGAAGAAACAACTGGCCAGAGCATGAAATTAACACCAAGTTACTGTAAGATATAGCATTTCTTAAAAAAGACAGAAATCTATTAAATAGATCATAGATTAAAATGCACATATCATTTATCTCAAGCTCAAGCAATCTGACAACCTTGGATCAGGCGAAGCTTTTAAATAAAACATTATAAACAGACATATATAATGCACTAAAACCATCCTGTGAGATCAGAGGGGTAAATAAGCAGGTACATCAAGACATACAGAAAGCCAGAAGAGTGTAAGTGACATTCCACCTGCCCAGTGCTGGGGGCTTGATCTCAGTGTACACTTCCACAGAATGACAACAGGAAGGAACTAGATGGACAGTACAGCAGGTAAGAGCACTGTGTTCTTCCGGAGGATCAGGCTCAGGTCCCAGGACCCACACGGCACTTCACACCCATCTAAACCCAATTTCAGCACATGCGATGCCCTCTTCTGGCGTCTGTAAGCACCAAACATGCACACGAGGTACATACTTGCATGCAGGCAAACACTCATGTACATAAAACAAAAACGAAAATAAAAGGTGAAAACACTTTACTAGTAGAAATGAAGAAGAGGGAACAAACAGTCTAAGGAAACAACCAGGAGGGATCTGCTGGCTGCAGATTTGGAGAACTGATGGACTTCACCAGCTCTAACAACACTCCATCATGTAACTACCCCAACAGACCCAGTGTCCGAAAGCTTTACAATGCCTCTCTCTCTCCCTGAGTGGCTGAGAAGTTTTAACAAAATACAAACTAGGATCTAGATCCACATCCTACCAGTATCCTCGCAACAAGCCCCTCAGAAAACCTCCGCTCCATTCAAAGGGGAAAGAAACATATTCTCCAAAATTAACGCTTAACCATCGTACTTCAGGAATCACTGGAAGATTTCAAATCTCCCCTGTACCCTATCAGCATGTCCTACCACCCAATTCCTATTCAATTTCTATTCAATTCCTCAATGTGTTTAAGTTATACTTGGAAATGTCCACGTTCGCCAAGTTACTCACCTTACTAACACCAACTCCAGTGAACCTGGCCTCCAATAATTCCTGCCTTCGTGGGTCCAGGCTATGCAATTCTTCCATCATTTCTACAGGAAGAAAGAGGGCCAAGAAGTCATGAAAAACTAAATAGAAGAAAAAGTTTTATGTGTAAGAAAACGCATAGGAATTTTGTAAACCTCAAAGACATATACATTCGAGCGTTATAATATACTCATCAGTTATTTGATGTTATCGATAGTTACTTTAGATCACACAGCAGCTTGAGCTCTCTTCTATGAGGGTCTTTTCTTTTTCCTGAATTCTAGTTTGATCTTTACTGGGGGTGAGAGACAGGAATGGAAGCCCACCCTTGTAATCCCAACATGAAGGAAGTATAAGCAACAGATAGCCACAAATTTGAGGGCAGCCTGGTTGGCCAGAGCTATAAAATGAAACCCTGTCTCATAAATAAAAACTAAGTAAATAAGAAGAAGTAGCAAACGCTTCATATTATCTCTGTAAAAGGTGAGCAGAAAGAAAACCAAGGCCGCACTTGCAAACAGAAAACTCCTGTTAGCCTTTCCACGGGAGTACTTTCAGATAGTTCTTTCCCCAACACCAAGAACCAGTTCTTAAGCTAAAAATATAATTCATTAATAATTTCAAATGAATATAGAATGAATCAGAAGCTGCAAATAACTTCAATAACCCTACTGTATAGCTCCTTTCCTGAATAGCTCACAGCAGCTAATGAAAACTGGAATTCTTTCATGCTAAATTTAATGAAGAACCCAAGATAAACCGTCAACCTACATCCACTCGGGAAATTAATATAAGGCTGCAACAATTCCCTCACAAAATCCTTTTCTGACCACTCCTTGAAGCAGTAGTGGATATCTGCTTTGAGCACTCCTCCCAGGCAGGGAGGGGCAGAAGGACACCATTTTTAAACCCTTCCCCGACCAATTAATGCAGACACCATGAGCAGGTATGTCCAACCTTTGCACCATGCATTGAAAAGCTCTTCAAAGTGGGAAAGGAGCATACATCATTACATAGAAACCCTTCCGACACACTACTGAATAGTTACTGGAGCGATTGGCATAATTTTTAAAGTTCACCGAAAACATGAATCAAAGCTGCTTCTCTGCAATCTAACAACTCCACAATTTCCAGTAACATCCCCTCCACGAGTCCTTAACTTTCATTTCCCTTCCTGGATTGAGAGCCCGGGGCAAAGGGTGACAAATTAAAGTTTCACTCACACATACAAGTACACGTTAGAGAAGGAATCAGGAAATTCTTAGAAGGGCAGAAAGGCATCTTTAAAACTAAAAAAGACTGGGAAGAAAACCGAGTTGTCCCCAAGTAGGTAAGTGGCCTTGCTCGCCGCCACTCGCCCTGCCCTAATCGAGGTCGGAATGGCAGAGGTTGCAGCCTCTCCCCAATCCCAAGGTCTCTGGAAACATTTCCCAAACCTCCATCCCGAGGCCTGGTCCGGAAGACGAGGCCCCAGCAGTTATCCCATTGACTGTCAACTCACGTTAGGACGATCTCCACCCCATCGCTTTCCAGCCAGCCTCGGGACCGGGGTCCTCCCAGCAGCCCCTGGCCGGGAAGCAGGAGCGGTGGGGCCTGGTCCCGGCGCCCCTCGCCGGCTCCAAACTTTCCCTAACTCCAGGCCCACCTGTCACGGAGGGAGCGGGGGGCAGCGTCGGGGGCGCCCGGGAGGCTGCCGAGGCCTCCCGCTCCCTGGAGTCCCCTCTCGGAGCAGGCCGACCGCCCCATTCCCAGGCCCGGGCCTGGCCCAGCGTCGGCCCGGCCCCTCAGCGACCCGCAGCCCTCGGGGAGAGCACCTCCCGCCTCAGTGCCCAGGAGCCGCGGGCCCGACGCCGGCCCGAGTCGCAGCCTCCTCAGGCCGAGGGGGGGTCCCCGGGACGGTTACTATCCCGGGCCCGGCGCCCTGCCCCGGCCCGGGCTCAGCTTCTCACCTGCCGCCGCCGCCGCTCCACGCTCCTCTCGGGAGGGGCCCCGACCCGACCCGGCTGCGGACCGCTCCGCTCTCCCCCTGGGCAGGCC